AAAAAAAGTGGGGGAATTCCTTGTCAGTTTCTAAAAGAGTGCTTTTCAATGTGTGAGTGTTGAATTCTGACCGACTGGAGTTGAATGGATTCCAATTTTATCAAGTTTTTGAAAGCTGATACGGACATTTCGTGAATGCCTTATTTATCCAATTGGTAAATAAACAAACCAACCGCTCCTTTCTCCAATTCGCCAGGAACTGCCTTCATTGTGAATACAGTTTTATTTTCCACGCCTGAATGCAAAGTCATTTATTTATAAGCTGAAATCCTAAAAGTTACGAGATCCAAGATCGCAAGTTTTTAAGGTCAAACCACCAGACGAGGATCATGATTCGTAGGTGTAACATGAGGTAAACTACACCACCTACCTACATTACCCGTGTCTTTGAGTGAAGCTTCAATGGTGCGCATCTCTTGAATTTTTGCTTTGAAGTCGATGAAGCGGTTGTCAATCGGGACCTTAAGTGAGTGGCTGCTACAGCACCTTACTTAGATGATTCAAGTCTGCTCACCTTGTACAAATTGGGCTCGGTTCCTAGATATCCGATAGAGACTCGGCCACTGACAGAAAGCATCGAAAGCACACTCTGATATGTTGAACTAAAAAATCCAAACTCGAAGTGCTGATGTGTTTTCGGAAGGAAAAGAGCGGACTCCCGCATGATTGAAATGAGAAAAAAGCGATGATAGGGATGAATTTTGTTACAAAAATAAAAACATATGAATGACCATACAACAAATTATTGATTAGGTCGTTTGGAAGGTGTTTTCCCAATGTTTACAGAAGATAGTCCTGGAAACTTTTATAGAAATACTATGGATGGGCGTGGGCGGAGGTGGCATGTGGTGCACTATCTCACACGCATGCTCACAGGTTCGAATCCCGGACCGATATCCGCCTAGGCCAACCAAGGTTTTGACCCTTCCAAGGTGGGTTAATTTGCACCAGACTCGTCCGGAAGATAAAGGCACTGACTTATTTATCGGCTGGCCACCGCAAGTGTATAGGCCACACACGCATTCAATACGCCACTACGATTCTGGATGGAATGCGAATGCAGGGCGCATCCTAGACGGGATTGACTAATGTCACTATGTGCACATAATAGTTCGGAAGAGCTTTTAGGTCCAATTGCAAGTTCCGCTGGGTTCAGCAACGGAGTGGCCAATTTCGAGTTCGTGGTCTATGTCTTCAACATGTCATGGGTAGACAATTCGGCCATTACAGGGTTAAATAAGCAAGCGAGAGGTGGCGGTGGTATGTTACGCATCTACCTGTGAGTAACTAAGTGATTCTATGGAAGCTTCCCGAAAATCCCGGAAGGAATCCGGAGTTTTGGGAAATTTTTCCAGATATGTTCCACAGAACCCAGTACCGTTCGGTAACTAAGTGAGCTGTCAAAAATGTTAATAAATCCTACTAGTCAAACTAATTCTCTTACGATTCTTGCCATACCTGTAACTGCTCAGCTTGATGGCCACAATTGTGTCTTCGGTTTGGCTATTCCACATCAGTTTGTTATCCATGAATACCAGCAGTGAGTTCGAACTCGTCGTCACACAAAGTCGAATTGAAAGCGTTTCTTCTGAAGACCCTCATTTCAATCAGGATATGTGCCTGGGACTCCTTGATTCATTAGATAATCATTCTAAGCCGTAGACACTTTTTTGTTTTCCGTTGAATGAAGACTAGGGTTTCACAGGTTACGTTAAGATGGCCGGCGTTTTTGGAGCGAGTAACTTACCGGCTGAAAGTGATTCACCTGAGAAAAGTCGATAGATCTCTCCTAGATTCTGGGTCAACAGTTACTCTAAAGCAGCATCGGATGAATGCGAGAAGCGAAACAGTACTTTAAGATCCAGAATTATTGTTTTCAAAGATCGTTTAAATCAAATCGCCTAGGAATTCTGCGAAGGCGGTCGCATACTCATTCCAACAAGTTTCATCTTTAGAATTATGGCCCAGGATATGCATCACCTATAGAACTTCCCAGACGTACTTCCCGTACTATAGACCATGAGCGCAGTTCCAACGCGTTCGAGGCGAATCTGCCATCGTACAGTGCCGCCGGTCGTGAGGCAGTAGACAGTATACCGACAGAGACAGATGATGGACGGTTGAATTGGAGGAGTGTCCTCCATGGCCATATCAACGCATGTGTCACCCAAATTGAAGGTCCAGTCGAACTGAAATATGTTAAGTGACTCTGGCTTTGTTCCAGTCCTTCTACTGGTATGGAGATCGGAAGTCAGTAATTATAATGGCAAGGCTCTAGTGGATAATCAGAAGGGAAGATAGTGAACGAGAGCATCTTGAAAACTGGTGAGAAAGAAGGGGGTTCAAAGGTGTCATTATAAAGCACAGTACTCTATCTTAAGCAGATATCTGAAAAGCGACTCATACGCTGTGTGCATGCTTTCTTGTGGTGCATTGTTTATTCACGTAAGGTGGCGATCAACGGAAGT